TTCCTGCATGGGGGTCCTTCTCCTCCCTCTTCACAAACTCTGCAGAAGATGTGTACACCAGTAATATCTTCCACCTCATCTCCATACCCTCCATGCACTTTTTTCCGAGGAGCTGCAGACAGCTGGGAGGAACGACATTCTCCATATGCAGAGCTTGTTACCTTGAAACTGCCAGACTGAAGTCTTGGCTACACACAGGACTGCATATGTTTGGCTAAACCTGTTTTGAACAATTTAGTTCACAGTCATGAAGGCTGTGTGGTGCGTTTATGCTGATTTCCCTGTGCTTTTATCACATTTAAGTAAGCTAATCAGGAGCCAGGTGAAGTCATAGTGAATTAGACCATTCCCATATTGAAATTACTATCCACCTCCTGTAGGATTTAAGCTTGATGCCATGATACATAATGCCATGTATAAACCTCAATTTATGTATTTATGACCTGTATGCTGGTTTCGTTGTTATTTTAGATATATAGCAATGTTGATAGAGCTTTTAATTTTTTTAATGCTAAGAAAGCCTAATTGAACTGAACGTAAATGAATCCAGTCCAGATTGGGAAGGACCAAACACAGCTATTTGGTATGGAGGAGTAGTGGCTCAGTGGGTATAAAATGAATGGGTGGTTTTATTCCATTGCCCTTTGGTGTGCCCATCACTATACCCCTCTGGTTTGGCACTCCTCCCAGCCTCCTCAATAAGAAAAGCCAGGACTGACTGAGGGTGAGATATACCCACTTATTTCCAGAGGCAAGCCCTTAGGATGTGTCTGTGGGTTGATTTGGGAAATGCTGCAAAATCCAAGGGCACCTTCTGAAATAGTGAGGAGAGCAGTCTCCAGCATGACTAAAAAAGCCCTTTTCAAAAAGCCCCCTTTAAAAAAAGCCTGCGGAGAAGAAGCAGTCTCACCCCTGGGATTTGTAAGGGTAGCATCAGTGCCTTTGCCTCCATCTCCGCAGCGGCTATCATCGAATGGGAGGCACTGATCCCCGGTTCCAGCCAAGACCTCTGAATTCTTCACAATGTCTTTCACGGATGTGGTTGACTTGATTTTATAGATACGACGGCTGTTGGTGTCGGAGAGGTAGATGGAGCCGGTGATTGGATCTGTGGTCAAGTAATACTTATGAGCTGGGCTGTGGCTGAAAAACAAGGGTATGACGTTATTATTTTCAGGATGATTTGTTTCCTTAAGTCAACAGGCATTGCAAGCACTTTAGATAATAAAAATGCACAGGGCAGACAGACTGGGAAAGTGAAGCAGTGCCGTGTTTGACAATGTTAGTACATGGTGTGTTCCAGCACAGGGTCTGCTACCAGTCACTGTGCCTGGGCTGCTCTCTGGCATGGGGGGCAGCTACCAAAGGAAAGGGCTTGCTGGCCCGAGCCAAAATCATGCCATATGTGGAATTCCAATGCCAGGGATTGCTTAATTTACTTAATACAAACATAGTCTTGAAACTGGGGTTAATGCAGTGCCAGAAAGTGAAGGGAAAGTGTTGTACACTAGGTGCAGAAAACAAAGCAACTAAAATGAAATAAAATCTGTCCTCCCAAGAAAGACCCCAGGACAAAACCCCAAAGGCAGACTCCCAAGTATAAAGCACTTGAAGATATACTATTGAAAATCACTGTGTCAAGGCTTGTGTGGTGCTCTTGCTGATTCCAGCAAAGACCCTAGAGTCCTGTCCTGCCCTCGTGGAGATTTGGAGGAGTCCTGCCACTGAATTCAGCTGAACCTCAGTGAAGGGAGAAAGAAAATGGTCCTTGGAGTGCCACATTTTGCCCTAAGTAGCAACAAGAACTAGAAGAAGGGCTGAGGAACCCAAGTATCAGTCCCTTGTTAAACTCCATTCACTCACTACTTCCTCATAAACTAGAAAGGGTGTCTGTAAAAATGGGGTGAGCAGACAGAAAGCGAATGTTTTTTAGCTCCATGACTATAACACTAAATCATAAAATCATAGAATGCATTGGGCTGGAAGGGACCTTTAACGCTCATCCAGTCCAACCCCTGCAGTGAGCAGGGACAATGTTACCAGATCAGGTTGCTAAGAGCACCATCAAGCCTGGCCTTGGATATCTCCAGGGATGGGGTCTCCACCACCTTCTTTGAGCAACCTGTGCCAGTGATCTACCACCCTCATAGTAAAGAACTTCTTCATAATGTCTAATTGAAACCTACCCTGCTCTAGTTTAAAACCACTGCCCCTTGTCCTATCACTACACACCCTTGTAAGCAGTACCTCTCCACCTTTCTTGTAAGCTTCCTTCAGGTACTGGAAGGTTGCTATAAGGTCCCCCCAGAGCCTTCTCTTCTCCAGGCTGTACAACCCCAGTCTGTCCTCATAGCAGAGGTGCTCCAGCCCCCTGATCATTTTTGTGGCCTGCTCTGGACCCGCCCATACAGTTCCATGTCCTTCTTCTGCTGGGGACTCGAAAGCTGGATGCAGTACTCCAGGTGAGGTCTCACCAGAGCAGAGTAAAGGGGCAGAATCACCTCCTTCCATCTGCTGGCCACACTTCTTGTGATGTAGCCCAGGATGCGGTTGGCCTTCTGAGCTGCAAGCATGCATTGGTGACTCATGTCCAGCTTTTCATCCACCAGTACCCCCAAGTCTTTTCTGCAGAGCTGCTCTCTATCACATCATTCCTCAGCCTGTATTGGTAATGAGGATTGCCCCTACCCATGTGCAGGACCCTGCACTTGGCTTTGTTGAACCTCATGAGGTTCACCTGGGCCCACTTCTCCAGCTTGTCCAGGTCCCTCTGGATGCCATCCCTTCCCTCTGGCACATTGACCTCACCACCCAGCTTGGTATCATCAGTGAACTTGCTGAGGGTGCACTCAGTCCCACTGTCAGTATCATTAATGAAGATATTAAACAGCACTGGTCCCAGTACAGACCCTTGAGAGACACCACTTGTCACCATCTTCCATCTGGACATCGAGCCGTTGACCACTACTCTCTGGCTGTGACCATCCAGACAATTCCTTATCCACTGAACAGTCCACCCATCAAATCCATACCTCTCCAACTTAGAGAGGAGGATGTTGTGGGGGACCATGTCAAAGGCCTTGCAGAAATCCAGACAGATGACATCTATAGCTCTTCCCTTGTCTACTGATGCAGTTACTCCATTGCAGAAAGCCACCAGGTTGGCCAAGCAGGACTTGCCCCTAGTAAAACCATGCTGGATGTCTCAAATCACCTCCCTGTCCTCCATGTGCCTCAGCACAGCTTTGAGAAGCATCTGTTCCGTGATCTTCCCAGGCACAGAGGTGAAGCTGACAGGTCAGTAGTTCCCGGGGTCCTTCTTTCTACCCTTCTTAAAAACTGGTGTGATGCTTTCCCGTCTTCCAGTCACCAGAGACTTCATCTGACTGCCATGACTTTTCAAATATCACAGAGAGTGGTTTGGCAACTACATCAGCCATGTCTGAAGAAATGAATAAACCAGCAACTTCTTTATGGAAAGCATTCAATGGGTTGTCCAGACAACCGGATGAGTTTAGACACAATTTAAAAAAAAAGTCTTTCAAGGATTATATCTATAGTCTAATATACATATTAAACTCCTTAGCTTCTTTTATTAAAATGAAGTCTTTGCTACTAGTGTGTATTGAGCTGCATCTCTTCTAAGCCTTAAACCAACAGATTAAACTTGTAACACCTGCTGCCTGAACATGGGTCTTCTTCCTTCTAAGAAAGGCTAAGTAGTAATTAGAACAAGTGGGAAAAAAATCTCTACTTTTCTCCAGAACACCTTCAAGCTGTCCAAACTCATCAGGTCCCAAGAATTCATAATAAATGTACAGGCCATAGTTCACAATTTTACACTTAGTGGAATTGTTCCAGGAGAAGCTGCTTAGAAACCTGTGTTTTGATCACAGTCAAATCTATCCCTCATAATAAGAAATCTCCTCTCTCCTTCAACCTTTATGTTAGGAAAATTAACATTTCTTCAGACACATAAAAACTACTGAATTATTCTCTGCTTAAAAAAAGCCATAAGTTGGTTATTCATTCAAATTACTTCATCATTTGAGGGGCAAAAGCATCTTTCTGATTTATTCTGGAATATCTCTTGTGATTTATCCTATTAAAGACTGAACAGATTTCATCTTCACAAATGACACTGATTCTTGCTAAATAAAATGCTCTGACCTTCAAGACAGCTCCAGCCTGACAGTTCACTCTCCATCTGTATTCCTTTCCAATGACAGCAGGCTGGTATGGTATTATTTCATTTACCTGCATGTCACTCACACTAAGCAAGTGGCTCCAGGCCTGGTGGAAGAAGTTCCCTGTGGGATTCCATCACCCGTTCTGATCAGAGCCTTGCCTTTTCTGCTGACTGTCTGAACAAAGCCCAGCTGAATGTCAGTCAGCTTTGGAGCCGTTCATAGTCTCTGTTTTGCATGGGAGGTGGACAAGAGGAGGACGTTTTTAATGGCACTTTGCAATTCTTTAGCATCTTCACCTGGAGAGCACAGATAGCTTTCACTGAGTCTTACAGCAGACCAACTGCATATGGGCAAAGGCAAATGACATTCCTAAAGATGGAGAAAAATGGTACCAGAACTGGCAGTTCCTGCTCCCTTCTTCCAGCACTATAATTTTATTTATTTGTGGATTTCATACCCTCACTCTGGTGGATTTTATTACTGATTACAATCTTCTGCGGGAGAGAGAGATCTTAGACATTTTTCTAATCCCAGTATCCGTGGAAAATGGACACTGAAGCAAATGCTGCTTTCTTTTAACCACAGAAAAAGGCAAAATATCCATCCAGAATCTAGAAAAGCTGAATGGTATTTACCTCTTAAATTTACTAAGTCAAAAATTGTCATATTATGGTAATACTTGGAAGAGTTGTTGGTAACTCAAGTTTAGTTTTACTAATGAGGTGCTAAATATAGATTCCCCAAAAAGTAGGGGTGAGTTCAAAGTTCACAATCATTGAAAAATTATCTCTGATTGGTTAAAATTTTCATCCTCTGCATAGCTGAGGATTAAACACACCCACCTTTACTATGAAATGTACTTCGGAAGAGGTAGATGAAGAAAGTTATGTTGGTTAAGCTACCCATGGGATGGTAATAATCTTGGATCATTTAAAACCTCTTCTGGATTTCACCTGATAGCAAAACTCTCCAAAGACATACAATTACTTCTCTAAATGTAATGTTATGAATGGTGTTGGCAGCCCCAGTACAAACTACTTCTTTTCTCTTGCATGACTCCGTGTGAGCACTAGGAAGTGCTGGTTCATTTTTATGAGCTAGACTTTTTATTTTTACGAGTATGGCTTATCATGGTCTCCCACACACCTCTCCATGCATGGGGCTTTTGTGGGTGGAAGGGCCCCTGGGATGGCTTAGGCAGTGGAGGATTTAACCTGGAAAGCTTTGGAGCAAGGGTGGCAAAATACAAACTTAAAAATGATCAAGCTTGAATTTACCCTCCTGGTCTTTGCCAATGGTTTTCACCACTGTACCCAAAAGGTGTCACACTCTGTCTCTGCACAAATTGCACAGTGTTATACACTGGAGCTTTTGTTTAACACTTTGAGACCCTTCAGGGTGAGAGATGCTAAATAAACATACGTTAGCACTGTAAAAGTTCCCAAACCTCTTCCCTTCATACGTGATAATGCATGAGCACTGGAGGTGGCAACACTGGGGCTTCGCTTTTTATTTAAAGCCACAATCAATAGGCAAATCCGAGAGGCAAGTTGGACTGAACTGAACAACAACTGGGGCAAAGCAGAGATGATTTTTTTTTCCCCTTTCATGCTCTCTTATTGCTCAATTAGATAACAGACCAAAACAAAAGACAGGACTTTTTACCATGCAGAAGATTTAATCAGTTACAGTATTTGTAGTCTTAGAATATTTATTCCCCATATTGACACTGCCACCACTAGAAAAGGGCTGTGGTGAAGAGCTGATTTCCCATTCAAAGTGTTCCTTTTGCTATTAAGATTTTAGAAGAAACCCTGAGCACTGCAGTGGCATTTTAATTCCCTGAAGCAACAAACCAAAGTTGCAGGGATGGGGTGAGCTGGTCCCTAGCCAAGAACAGACACTTCAGTGTGTATTAGTGGGGCATGACGGTGCAGTCACTGGGAATTAGGACAGTTTCACAGGCAGAAGTTCTGCAGGTCAAGTGAAATGAAAGTGATACGGCTTCCTCATACACTTGTGATGTAGTGATGTGCTGGGAAAGCACAGGGAAATCTTCCAAGTTCACAGTGATCCCAGTTGTTTGGGGTTGCATATAGGCTCTCCTATACATCTGCCTTGTTCCCTTCCTTTTTTCATTCTTATTATTCAGACAGGATAGTACCAGCACCATTTGGGGCGCTCTGCAGATTTGTTAGGAGATTCAAATCCCATTTTAAAGTGCTTATGCTTTACATGATTCCTTATATACAGGCACGAGGAAGGAAAGTGATAAAAACTTGGGTGAATAGGCAGCACTCATGGATGTAGTACCATAACAGATGCTCAGGCTTTAAGCAGAGGTTGATAATACCCCCTTGGGCCCAAAACCCATGTTTTGGAGAAGTCTGAGGAGGAACCTCTTGCTCCAGAGTGGGAAGGCTGTCACTAAGGAATAAAGATGAGAAAAGGGAGATGGTCCCTGGTTTTAGCAAGTTACATACAATACGCCAGCACAGCAGACTGCACCTTTTTTATTGGTTTTTGTTTAATGCCAGGGATTAATCTCACAGAGCTTTAGATATCCACAGGGTGGATGCCTACCCCTGAACTGTCTGCTTTGACTCCCTTTACAGCCAATGGAGAGAAATAACAACTTTTTAGATATGGTTCATCTGACTTATTTTCAACATTTATCTTACAGGATCAACTGCATCTTAGTTTCTCAAACACAAGGGCATCTCCCACCTCCCCTGAAGGACAACTTCTGCTGATGGTAACAGTACAGCTCTGGCTCTCACTGTGGGCAACAGACAGGAGCAGTCTCACCACCAAAGTTAGTTACCTGTAACAGCTCATCTGAATAAACCCCTGGGGCTTCTTTGGATCTGATGTCTTTGTTTAAAGACATGAAAGCAACTCTGTAATACTTTCTGTGCCAGCTGCCCTCTTCCCCTCTGAGCCTTGCTGCTCACATGCATTTGCCAGTGACTAAAGAACTACCGAATTCCTGCAGCCGTGTGTTTTTTGTTCGTCGGGGCTGTGTTTCCATGGCTCCATGCTAAGCACCCTGCGGCTCACAAACAGAGGATTTTATTATAGCTTGTGTGAGGTACTGGTCTTTTTTTCCCTGGGTGACATTCAATAGATTAATACATAAGGAGGCCACACAGTGCAATGAGCTGAATTTACACTTGGCCTTTTAGTGTTTTCAGTTTGTGTGCGATGCCCAAAGCTCTTCGAGAGTCACATAAAACTTCACAGCAATGCCATAAGCCAGCCCAGGAAGCGCAAAGGACTTTTGATCTGATTCTAGGGCAGTTTTCTGAGATACCTCTCTTTGTCACTAATTGTAATTTGCCTGTCTAAGATATGAATGGAAACAAGAAAGGAAGAATATATAAAAACGTAGTCACTTTTTGCATATTTGCAAGACAGAAATGCATCACTGCCCTCCATGTACCTGCAGAGAAAAGATAATGATAATGAACTGCAAATTGCTATTGCCATGCTTGGAAGTGTAGGTGAATACTTTGGGCTTAGCTGACATCCCGCATGCTGACGCACAGCCATTTTGGCTGTCGCAGAGTTAGACCTTGGCTACCTATGCTGTACTGCAGAGACAAGCCTCTTGGTAGCTCCAGAGCCTTTGGAGATGAAGCACATCACAGGCTGCGTAGCTGGGAGGAATCCTTTTCCCTGGAGTGAGGACACTTTTGTATATGGATCACAGCTTTTCCAAACCACTGAGATTCAGCCCTGTGGATCTCACCTTTTGCAGCTTTTGCCTGTCAACAGTGCCAAGCCCAGGACCTTCTAGAGAAAAAAGCACTGGACCTTTAGCTAAGACTAAACCCACTCATTTCCCTGTGGCTCGGGAATGAAGAGGCTTCTCAACAAGATGTACTACGGCAAATGAGACAGAACAGATGCTAACTCACGTGGATGACTCCCTTAACCTAGTCACAGATGGGAATAGTTGATCTAGAGCTCTTTACCTCCTTCTCTTCCCTCACTGGTTCCCTTTGAACTGCATTGAAGCAGGTACATCTTGGTTTCCTTTCATTTAATTACTCAGTTTTTAGGAATTGCCTAAAGGCTGAAGCCCTGCCAACTTTGTAAGGCTCTGGTGGCATCTGCAGCATTTGTAGCCAGTCCATATATCTTCACTCAGTTATTGCCTTCATATATAAAAACTCTTCTTGTAACAGGTATTCAGCTTCTGCCCTTCACTCTCAAAGCAGGAGCACTTTAGTGGCTGTGTATTTCTAGGGCATTAAGGACACAACCTGGCTGTTCCAAAGAGAAAGGAGTTTTTCTACTGCTTTCAAATGATGTTCAAGAGGAGCTGGGAGACTGGCACTCAGCCTGATGAAGACAGTCAGTGCAGAGGTCTTGTGTACCAACCCCCCAGCCCTGCTCATAGACATTTTGGGGCAGTCTTTTATACTGTGTAAGCTCAGCCTTTCATTTATATTCTGGCAATAAGACAAAAAACCAGTATCTACTCCATTGCATTCCCAGGCATGCAGATAAAATGAACATTTCTGGTTTTCCACAGCCTCTATGAAGTCAAAGAAACACTAAATAAAAAGCATGTAGCAAGAAAAATCCCCAATCCAAAATGCAAAGGAAAAAACAAACAAAATAAAAAATCCCAACTCCAGAGTCTAAGCTTCTAAATTAGAAAACAACCAGGGAGAAGGATGGGAAACGTGTCAGAGCCAGAGAAGGCCTTGCAAACCCAGACAGTGACAAAAGGTTGACATCCTCCTGAATGCAACTGCTTGGACCAAACCCACTGACACTCCAGTGAACCCAAGTGACAAATATTTTTAGTGACAAAGATTCTTAGTGACAAAGCTCCAATTTGCTTAGCAGTCTCTCTCTCATCTTGTTTTCTTGTCATTACTCTTTCTCCTTTTTTTTTAATTGCATTTCCTGGGTAAGGTTCTGAGTTGCACTCCCTCCCAGCTGAGCCTGACACATTTTCACATGCAAAGCTCTCTGTGAAGAGCTCAGAGTTACAAAAACTTACTTCCCTAGGTGGGTGATGCTGGGGCACACCTGGCTCTTCATTAAGCCTGTAAAGCTCCCCAGAACTCAAAAGGAAGACATTTGACCAGATGAGAATTATTTTGCCATCCTAGCTGTTCCAGGGATCTGTATCCTGTCCCCATTTTTCCGTCTTGGGCAATTCCCACCCATTTTTCCTTCCACCCTTCTCGTCCTGTTACCCTGCTCCTTGTGCCTGTGCTTCCCCCACCTACAGCTGTAACAGTTTATGCAGAGTCTGTGCGACTCTGCTTTGTGATTAATGGCTCCCGGTTCTGATGACTGATTGCCTACGCCAGTTTTAATCACGCCAGCTTCATTTGCTATTGAATCATCTGGAAATGGCACTTGTGGCTCACTGTGTAACAACATGCAACAAGACAGGGAGCGGCATAAGAATTCTCCACTGGTTGGCTTACCTATGTCTGAAATCTTTATTTCTGACAGAAGACAGGAAAGCAGGAATAGAAGAAAGAATGAGGTGTTAGCAGCTCAGTTCGATGCATTGAAAACTTGACAGTAACTGTATCATACAATGCAATAATAAATAAAGACTTAGCTGGAATGACACTGATATATTTTATATTGGATATTACTTGGCAGTGAGCTCGCTTATGTAGCGCTGCACATCACAAAGGAAGTGTGATCTCACCTGCTTGGAGTTATTCACTTATGCAGGAGATAGGACCAGGCAGACTTTATCATTCAGAGCAGTACTGAGCTAAATATATGTAGATGGAGATACCGTTACAGTTTTTTCACTACCAGTCAAAGCAATACCTCGTGATTTACAAAGGTAACTTAACAGTGCACAGTTATGGGTGGCAGCTCATTGCTGTAACCTACTCAACTCTAGCCCAGAGGACCAAAATTATGCCGAGTTGGACGTTTTTCATGGCTCCAGTTACATACCCAGCTGCAGTTATCTGTGTCCCACAATGCATTTGCTTTCCTCTCTGCAACAGCACGCTACGCTCAAAAGACACCCCCAAAACAAAACCCAAAAGCCAAATAGTGAGGGTGTTAATCTCCACGGAGATGCTGATTTGAGAAGACACAAGCAAACGTCACTTAGTCCAAAAGCAATGGCTTCCCTCCACAGCTTTTAGTTAGCCTGCATCTGAACCTTCCTACTTTATAGCACACCAGAGTGAAGAAATGTTTATTAGATCCAGTAACCTGAGTGTTTGCACAGATGAAACAGCAATCGTTCCAGCAGATTTAACTCTGGAGTAAATTTAACTCTGTGGCTCTACACAAAAGCCAGCAAGGCCACTCTGTCAAGGCTTCCAATTTTCTCTTTTCCAGTCAGGAAATACTCTGCAAAACCTCCGCTGGGCCTGGTATTTCCACCAACAATGAAACAGGGATCGGGTTTTCAAAACTGTACTTCTGAGAATGAGATATTAATCTCACTCAGTTGCAATGGGATTTGGGCCCCAAATCACCTAGGCTCTTCTGGAAATCTCACCTTTGGTCGTTAAAATAACTTTCTGGCACTGGAAGAATATTACATTCTTTAACATGGACCAGGTCTGAAGATTTAGCCCAGCTTCCCACCTTACAAACATGAGAGGTATTATGTTCTTGTGTATCACATAACAGCATAACAAGAATCAGGTTCTTGCTTATTTAATCAGAAGGTCTCCCAGCTTTCTGGGACGCGACTGTAACCATCTCATCGGGGGCTTCCTAATTCAATGACTCCTCCTGATTTCCTTGTCGCCCTGTGAGCACATCAAGACACCTCTTAGCTGAGTGCCAGCCTTGTGATGACTGTCTGGATGTTTTTTTCTCAAATACCATGATCTTTGACACACCATGATGGCTCTGTGTGCCAAATAAGACCTTCAGCAAGGCCTGAGGACTGTGATGTGTGCAAACGAGGGACTAATGGGATCTTGCACCCATTTTTAATGGATGTTCCTTCACAAGACTCCTTATTTCTCCTAATAATTTTTTCCTTTGTCATTTGAGGTAAATGGAAACACTTCACTTACTTTCAGATGATCCATCTGTACGTTCACCCTGACACTGCTATTCAGTTGGGAACCAAGGGGAGCTGATATGTGTTTTTCCCACCCCAAAAAACTATAAAAAACCCAGTCTGTAACTCCCTAGGTGATCATCCTGTCTTAATCATGAACAATTATCTGTCCTGATTAACGTATCACCATCAGTGCTGTATCCTTCCAAGTTTAGGTTATCTCAGAAACTGACTGTTAATTTTAAGAATTCCCACTGATCTCTAACTACATCAAAAGGGAAATATCAACACAGTTTGATTTAACAGCACAGAAATATGTCAACATTTTTGGTGTGTGATTCAATTCCGGAAGAACTTGTTAGGCTTGTGTTTCTCTGGTGTAAATTAAAGGCAGCAGAGCTGCAGAAAAGGCAAATCTGGATAGCTTTTTTTTCTGCTTTACGGTAGTTTTTTAAAGAGTTTTGCTTATTTTTCTTTTGGGTACGTAACATTTGTGCAGATCTTAAGGGTATAATGACAATGGCCACATTCAGCACGGCGTACCTCAGCTCCAGTATGTTGGTGACATTGCCAGAGGGAAAGATCCTTCGGATGTAGTTGAAATCTCCAACATAAAGACTTCCATCAGACCCACATGTGAGGGCAACAGGAGCCAGGAGTTTGTTCCCATCTGCCAGACCATTGCAGCTTGGACAAGAAATGCTACGTCTGCGGCCGTTGCCCATAATGCTTCCAATCACAGGTGGCTGCTGGGAAATAAACTGGTTTTCCCCGTTTCCTTTATGCAAGATGCCTAAAGAGAGAAAACAGTAATAAGGAAATTAAAGAGAGGCAGGGAAACTGAGACCAAAGGCAGCACAAACTGGCAGTGCTCAATGGCAGCTGGGGCATTTGTCAAGTGGCACGAATGTGGTTTAGTGGTGGACTTGGCAGTGTTAGGTCTACGGTTGGACTTCAAGATCTTAAAGGCGCTTTCCAACTTTAATGATTCTATGATTTTTTGCTTCTGGAGAGGTTAGTCATCTTTCATAGTATTGTTTTGTGATGGTCTAAAATGAGGAGCCCCTTATCTGAAGTAAGTATCTTTTATAGAGCTATTACATTTCCTGCTTGAACAGAAGTATGTAGGGAGAACGAGACTGTCTTTACCTTTGAATGAAATACACTTTTCAGCATCTCATGAATTTTCACCTACCTTTTCTGTCCCTGCTTGCCCTGTAATTTGCAACCTACCAGGTAAAAATATAAATTACATAGGTTATGGAAAGATAAGGGACATGAAGACCATGGTGCATTCTCTAGAGAAATGTTTCATCTGCAAAGCTTTAGAGGAGCTCTGCTTAAGTTCCCTGTAAGGGCAGTGTTTTCAGCAGTGGAGTGGACTGAATCAGATGATTGTTCCCATACCACTGCTATCATCCAGAAGAATGCAGTGCTTCCATCATTTGAACTTGTTCTGATCAACTTGCAAGTTTTCCTGCTACAATTTTGAGCAATCTTCAAGGATTCCAGCACCTTCCATCCTCCCTTATGATCCATGAAGCCTCTCATTTCTGCAAGTTCCCTTGAACATTGGAGGATGTATCTGGGTGAATTTATGGTCAGTGGGAGGTCCAATCTTAATAGGCTCGTCTTTGTTATTTCAGGATATTTTCCTTGTTAATCCCCTTTGTTTAAGAAACTACAGTTAGACATGCTGACATTCAACTACTTCACAATGGCCAGCCTCTTCTGGATTTATGCACACCACATTCGTTCTAAATAATACTAGAAATCATTTGTTAGTAAAATACATGAGAGATTACATGCGTTGGTCAGGTTTCTTTCCTTTCCTTTTCTTGAACTCCTAATGATAAGAAGCAACCGGGCCTTGCAACTCGGCATTTATTCCTCTGTTATGTGTTAGTCAACCTACCACTCTGTATGTTGAGGGCATGATGTTTGTCCAGGGACCATCCTCCAAGTTTGGAAGCATCAATTTCATAACCCTGAAGCACAGCTGTCCTCTTCTCCCACAGGATCAAGTCAGGACAGGATTCATACTCATAACCTACTGAAACTATGAACAAGAGAGAAGCAAAAGACACCTTAGATGAGTAACCCAGAAATACACAATCAACACACACAGAGTTTCAACTGAGCAGGGTTAAGGGCATCTCTGCAGACAACTGCCAATTTCATTTAAAATGCCATCACCACAACACAGAGTCTCAGTATTTTTCTTTTTAAAGGCCATCCTGCATTTAAAAAGGTCAGCACAGTTGTAGACATTGGGCAAATGTGCTAAATATTTAAAAGGCACTTTTTTAATGGTATATTTTAAAACAATGGGTATTTGAGAGGGTAAACTCCTAAATGGGAGCATTTTACTCCTCTCTAGTCTTTGATCTAAGACTGCAGGTCAGGAACTTGCTAAAAATCATGGCCTTTCTTGGAAAGCAAAGACTTACACAAATGAGGCATGGGGCAGCAAGTTCCTCAGAGACAGCAGTCTCAGACCAGCTTGACTCGTGGTCATTGTTAATGTCAAAAGGCTACATAGCAAAACGTGGTTTGCTTGCCATGATGTGTAAACAGAGCCTTTCAAGAGTAACTCCGCTGAACGCATTGGAGTTGCTTGAGTGAAATTATGTCAGTAGAAGGAAAATCATATTTTTGACAGAATAATTTCACTATCTTCTCTGAAGAAGCAGGACCAGTTTCATTGGTTTACTTTTCTTCTGTCCTACCTGGTCTTTTCAGCACTAAACAGTTGAAGCAGAGCAGAACTGCCAGTTCTACACAGATGAAAAGCAATTACATAGCTCTTTTTATTTTTTTACTAGATAAAAATAAAGGTCTGATCTTACAAATTTCCCAGCCTCCTTGAAAAGTGCTGAGCACTGGGTGAACTCAGAATCCCCTCCTTTTGCAGAATCAGACAGTATGAGAGGAAGATGTAATTTAAGAAATGAAGGCTTGATACTTTCCACTGTTCTAGAGGAAGGAATCATTGAAAGACTGAGTGCTGATGCCCTCAGATCTGCTTGAGTACTCCAGGACCCACTGCTGATCTAGCACCTTAAAGAGCACATAAAGTCTTTCAGGATATGCTACCAGGACATGCTTCTCAATGTGGACTCCAAACTGGGTAAGGCTCAGCAGGTTGGATAAGCCTCCTCAAGGCAGCTGAGCCTGGATGAGAGGAAGGCACCCATTCTTCCTACTGGAAAGAAAGGCACCCTACAGCTCCTCTAAGAGACTTATCTTCAGCTGGGCTATGAGGACTCAGTGAATCCCTTTCTGTCAACAAGAGCTCTATTTGCTAATTTGGGATCTGTCCCATCTTGTTGACATCATTGTCTGGGCAGCCTGAAAGGTCTAGTCTAGACTGCCAAAAACCTGTAACTGAATGTCCTCCGGTTGTTGATCAGATGGAAAGCAACCACTGCAAAGCAGCATCACCTCTGTTCACTACACACTCAAAGTAACTCCTTCCCTCCATCATCATCATACAGGGTTTGCTGGGTGACCTCTGGGATGGCAGCAAGAAGAGGAATGAAGTGTGTCTCTGCATACATATTATATCCATAGCTTCCTGCCCCAGCAAGAATTTCAGGTTCTGCCCCTGTAGAGTGGAGTACTACAGGCCACAACGCTTGCTGCTGGGGATGTGACACACTGAGTATGCAGAGCCTTCCTATTCTCTGCTTCACAGCTTCTGACTGTCTTTTGCAGATGTAAATACATGAGCAAGGTACAATAGAGAAGACCATCATCCCCCAGTTTGGGATAGTGTTCTTAAATGGGTTATGATGGGGAAACTAAGATTAGAGCAATCCTGAAGGTCAAGAACAAGGAGGAGTGGAGATCAAGTCTCAGTTCTAGGGTTTTATTTTAAAGCAGTGCTGACAACTTTTGGCTAGAGGTGACAAGTAGCCAAATGCTTCCAGTCCCAGTTCATTCTTTCTGTATGAATGTGATGGTAGCAGCTCAGGATGTATGTGCTGGGCCATGAGCCAGAGACCAGATAAGTATTCATATGTCGGGGAAATGTGTGCTGTCTGAACAGCTGCGCCAAATCCTCTCCAAGGAAACAGCAGTGAACCAGGTGGGACGATTTTACATTTTACATTTTTACTTTTTATAAGGGCAGGTAGCAATTGAATGAGGGGGAATGCTTTTAAACTGGAAGAGGGGAGATTTAGACTGGATATTAGGAAGAAATTCTTTACTGTGAGGGTGGTGAGACACTGGCACAGGTTGCCCAGGGAAGCTGTGGATGCCCCCTCCCTGGCAGTGACCAAGGTCAGGTTGGATGGGGCTTTGAGCAGCCTGGGCTGGTGGAGGTGTCCCTGCCCATGGCAGGGGTTGGACTGGATGAGCTTTAAGGTCCCTTCCAACCCAAATCTTTCTGTGATTCTGTGACTCTATGATTTTATGTGCTAGCAGTTGGACCACACCATTTGAGGACAAGGTCTGTGCATTGCCACTTTTCTGCTTCTAAAAAGACACACCAGCCCTGGGATCACTTACCAAAGGCTTCTGAGAGCCCATACACCTTCTGGCTGTAGACGTCTGTCTTATCCCAGATGAAATAATAGGACAGGTCTGGAGCAGCTGCAAACCACTTTCTGAAGAGGCGCCCCTCGACAGCCACCATGAGGTGGACTTTCATAAGGTTGAAGGGAATGGTGGGGTGGGTCATACTGATTCTCAGCACTGATTTGTAGCCAGCTGTGCGACTGCTCAGGTAACTCACTTTTATTTTACTACCAGAAACGTTAATCTCCTCCTGTAGAGCCTGTGGAAAAGCAATGCAGGAGGTGTTAAATCAGCAGTGAGCAGACAGGAAAAGGCAGTGAAGCTGTAATTTATCAAACACACCTTTACAAAAGCTCTGGTAGACATGTCTAAAAAAGCACATCTAGTAGGCATCAATTATAACAATAATATATGTAATTTATAGTGTTGGTTGTGGAAGCCAAGGAATGCCCCCCTCTTTCTCCATCTCTGTTACATGGGAGAACAGGACACCAAAGTATCACATTTAAGTCAGTGTTTACAATGGCACTCACTGCTAAAAGGAGTCCCAGGACCCACAGTGAAAGGAGCATGGGGTCTGAGATTATTCCATCCTATCAGTTTCGCTTCTGTTTTCTGTCCTTTATGTTGATAGGTTTCCATAGCTGCTAATTTTTGTCTTTTTCCCAGTAAAATATCAAGTTCTACTCGGCCTGTACCCTTATGGATGTGCCCCAGACCCAGACTATTCCAGTACAGAATTTCACAGAAGACCGGAGAAACAGCAGGGAAAGTTTTGTCCACCTCTCTTCTGCTTTGAGAATAGAGAAGTCTCAGCAAAGATGGGATTTTCAGCTAGTTCACCTGCTAAAGTATAACCAGATCTTAAAAAGTATTCTTTTTTAAAATTTTTATTTGGAGAAATGCAGGGCAATTTTCTGGAAAGTGATACAGTGTACATCCCTACACCATGCTGATCCCTCCATGCAAAATACTGATTAAAAAGGGCATTTCTTCCTTAATTCTTGGGGAACTAGTTGCCACTTTTCAGAAAAGTTCACTCCTAGTTAAGCACCCAACATGGACATTTTCAGCACAAGCCAGAAACCTTTGGCAAAGTTTGAAAGATGAAGGCAGGGGCTTAGCAGTGAGGTGGAAAACTTGGTCTGATAATGGGATGTGTCAGAAGGTCACAGCTGGCACTGTTCTCAACACTTCGGTGTGCTGGACCCTAAATGAGCTGTGGATATACTTCCCCAGCAATAATCAGCTTTCGTAATGTTCAGGGCATGGAGGCTCGAAGGCAAGGGGTCAGGAGATCTACCCATCATGGAGATCACAGCCATCCTGGTGTCCTCCAGGCTTCGTGGCTCCTAGACTCAACTCCTTTGCAGGTGCAGCAACTTCCCTGGCATGACAAGTTGCTCATCTCTTACAAGTTTACTGGTTTGCATTACAAATAATGTCAGATCTTGTAATCTGCCCCCTGAAAAGACCTCTTCTAAGCCATTATCTGAGGCCCAACACTTTTTCAAATAATAACTTACAGCCTCTGAGCGTTGCAGCACTTGACAAACGGACACATCCAGAAGTTAAAGCGCTGTTCCGCTGTGCTCATAAATATTTACTTTCACTAATGCAGCCTTTTCCATTTACATATCTCAGTGTTTAGGAGGCTGAAAAATGACAGAACTGGGAAAACCCAGGAATTTTAAAATATATTTTATGAGCTCAGCAACAAGCTAGGCCAGGACCCGGCTCAACCAGAGACCAGCTGAGCCAAGCTGCAGTAAAGGTGGTCCCTTGTATCAAATCTGTCTTCATATGTAACCCCTCTAGGAAACAGCCAGGCAGAAATAATTGTCACAGAGGTAAAATTTGCGATGTCTGGTTCAAATCCCTGTCAGAAATCATTATTTCTCTCTGTCACGATGTGCCTCTGCTGTCTGCCATTCCAGAGACGGGGTCAGCACAGCGGTACCAAGGCACTGAGCAGCACAAGGGGCTGTGTTTAGAGGCGCCTGCATGAAGAGCAGGTTCAAATGGTAATTCAGATTATTCAAAGCGCATTTGTAGTTTGTAAGCAGTGCTGAACTAGCAACAGTGCAGGGCATTGGTGGGAGGAGTATGATCCAATAAAACACTCGTGGAAGAAGAGGGGAAAAATAAGCTGAATGCACCAAAAGTAATGACAGCTGAACTGTGTCCTTATTTCTATTTGATAATTGCTATTTGGCTGAGATAAATTCAAATGCTATGTCTGAAGTCCTTGGGAAATGCTCTTTAGAGTTTACCACAGCCTGACCAATGTAATCTGCTCTTCAGAAGTGGTCCAGACACCAGGCTGGTCAGGCAGAAAAGCTGGTTCTTCAGGCTTACTAGGGATTTTCACAATGTAGCAATTTCCACTGCCGTATTCCCTTTGCTCCTGGGTGTTGATCTGTGCCTGTGTTCCAGGTATATATCTATATCTATGCAATTCTGCTTTCTGCAATGAGACCATGTAGAAAATCTTGTTTCTATGTGCTGGGTTACACATTGCCCTTACAGTTACTCTTCACTCTGCCAGCAGACAACACAAGGAACTACCAATCTTTTTATTTTTATTTTTAAATATGATGCTCAGAAGGAATTCTGAGAAAGAAAACCATTTAGGGCCTGATTCAGGGGTCTTAACATAGATATCTAGTGCTTTTGAGATGTTCTGGGGTATCCAAAATCTCTGCAAGGGGATGACAGATCTGACATGGATCTCTGCCTTTCTGAAGCTCCAGCTGGAGGCCTGGAGAGACACTTCAAGGCATCTGAAATGGCACCAAATACGTTTTAGGCGCCTGAATGAAACACCTGAAAGGTATTATTTGGTCTTCTGAATGCATCCAGGTAGAGGACACTGCATTAACTTGTCGAAGCTCATCAAGTTTCTATCCGCCCACTCGTCAAAATCTCTGTCCCTGCTGCTCGTCACCACCTCCCAGATGTGTGCTCACACCTTTTATATTTAACATTTCTCTACTGAGAACTGCATATTATAAAATACAGCTGCAGAGACTGACAGCTAGGTTATTTTTTATTCTATATATGTCCAGTACAGAAATGAAAAGTAGTTAATTTATGAACTGAAGTACAGTCAGGACTCTGCCATACAATCAGATTCTCTTGTATACTCCTGCACCACAAACTCTGCTAACTTTCAGCTGTCAATATTTGAGGAGGAATAGTTTTACAGGTTTCAGCTCAATCATTTGGCACGTAGGAAAAGTACTGGTCATCATGTATGGGATTCATCTTGCCTAAACTTAGGAACCTAAAAGTTAGGAGTCTCTTCATGGCCAATAGGCAGAGATAGGCTCTTCAAAAGGTTGTTCTTGCCACATAAACCTAAGAGTGGGATTCAATTCTAGTTTAAGGCATCTAAATCCAGATGTCAATGTGAAGTGTGAGCATGTGAGGTAAGCATCAATTACAAACAGTGGAGATCTAGCTGATGCTGTCAGTGGGAACGAGATACCTTTGAGATGGTCACCTGAATTGATCTGTAGGCTCCACTGACAGTATTGATCAGATCTGTGTCAGCTTTAATGAGATCTTAGACATCTAGCACACATACAGACAACTGTGTGAACGCCTTATTTAGGTAGTATAATCTCAAAACGAATTCCACTTAGGTCTTAGTTAGATTCCATAACTACAAGTGTCCAAGTTATTTGTGACCTTCACAAGGGGTTGGCAGATACGATGCAGGACACTGAGAGGGGGTTCAGGATGTTTCCAACTAAACATCTATGATGAGGAAGGTGAAACACTGGCACAGGTTGCCCAGAATGTCAGGTTGGATGGGGCTCTGAACAAGCTGTTCCAGTTGAAGGTTTCCCTGCTCATTGCAGAGGGGTGGACTGGATGACATTTAAAGGTCTCTTCCACCCCAAACTATTCTCTGATACATAGTTAAGAAACTGTATCAAACTATTGCTTATGATCTGTATCCCTGGCTGCTTTCACAGTTGATAGACAGACGCACTCTTATTGAAGAGGAGTTTTAGAATGTTTTTGTCCAAGAGATATAATTAACACAATCTAACGAGTATCCTATCAAATAATGAGTGAGATTGTGATTATACTTGCACTGTATCAGATAATTGCTTCTTTCCCAGGCAGCACTGAGCATTACCTTTCATGGTGTTTGTTGGTTTATGAAAAAAAGAGATGGGAAAAATGAAACAAAAATTTGCAATCTGACTTTATAAGATATGGGACTTAATTAGTAATTATTCTGGGACAAACACAGTGACTGTAATTGGAAATTAGTGTGAGAAAGGATCACAAGATCTGGTCTAGAGGGAAAGGTAAAGAGACCACTCACTTTATTTGTTGCTGAGTTCAGTACCTGGTGTATTAAAATTAGAAGATACAAAGTGACTCCTCTCCTCATTAATGTTACCGCAACCCCAATGGAGTCAAGCAGGAAGCACACGATTTGTCCCTACACTTGTTATTATTTCTTCCTTGGCAGACTATTATTTGTCACTAAAAACAATACCCAGGACATGCCAAATGTGGCTTCTAAAACCCAGGGAATAACATGCCCAAGAAAGAAAAGCTTGGATCATGCTACATCCATATATTTCAACACAGTGAGTATTTTTAAGGAAAACGGATAATTCAGTTGTTTGGACTATTCACTTTAAAACCCAACTTTCCATTCAGTAAAACACTTTAAAACCACAGCAGGTTGTTAAACTACTTTTTCTGACTCACACTTCCTTAAAAAAAAAAAGAAAAAAAGGGATGAGAAATTAAAAGTAACCCTCTCGCTTTACTCATCTACCCCAAACGTCATGAAATGCAATAAACCCCAGGTGCTCTGCATGCTGGCCCCTGGCCATCTGTCTGCTGGCTCACTGCACTTCTCAGCAGCTTTGTGGAGCAAGGAGCCTTCAACCTCACAAAAGCTCACACCTGATACCCCACCACTGAGGTCTGCAATGCCCAGTGGGTGAAATTTTGAAAGGCATTAGTGCATAAGTGGCCCACAAGCCTCGCGCTGGGCATATTGAATGCCAAAGGGCTGCCTGAAGGCTTGTTGTGGGTCACACGGGAGTCCCAGCCCAACTCTCGAGGATGAGAGGTAAAAGCAAAGCAGAGCCAAGGTAGGTTTTTGCTGTCAGTCACAAGCATTTTGCCTCCATCTCTCAGGGATAAGGGGAAAAGAAACCTCCTGGCTAAGTGCGTGCTTGGGAGTGAGTGCTCCTGGCAAACAGCTGAAAAATGGTGCAACAAATGGCGGGTGCTTCTTTTTAGCAAAGCAGGGGAATAAAGAAAGACAGAAAATAGTTGTGTTCATGTTGCTCAAAGCACAGAAAGGAGCTGGATTATTTAATCCACAGTCCATACCTGGATCTCAGGAACGATAGGACCTTTCTCTGAGCAGGAACTTGCAAAAGCTGTCAAGGGAGATGGGGAGACCACAGGGTTGGGCCGGGCGAAGTTACTGAGGTCACAGCTCGGGATCTCATTCTCTTCATGCCTCATGACGATGGTTTCCATCACAAAGAAGCGATCCCAGGGCAGCCACAGAGTGTGCTCCTGGGTGATGAAGGGAGCCCGTTCGAAGTGCAGGATAATGGAGATCCCACCGATGGTAACCAGATCAAAGCTGTTGGAAGAGATGGAACACAAAGTTAGCGCAAGCACCACCCCGTCTGTTTGTAACAGTTGCCTAGCAAGGACCCCCAGAAAAATAATTGTAAGAAATACCATCAGCCACATTTTATAAGCATAAAACCTGCAGCCCAAAGAGGTTTTAGCTGGGTAAGAGCAAGTGGCAGAGGCAGGAGTACAATCTCATCTTCTTTGCATGTTGTCCCCACATATATTAAAAACATACTCATCCCTTTTTTTGAGACAAATGTTTATCTTTGTATAGTGCTTTTCTAGTGTTATTCGATCATACACACTCATTTTATCTTTCTCTTTTTTTAGAAATATTTATCACTGAAAAACAGTCACAGATTGGATCAATTCATATGCTGAAATAAACCACTTGGAAAGCAGTTTCTCTGACACACCACCACATAAATTGCCTTCACATCGCTGCCAACATAATACCTAATGCAACTCAGGGCACATGTGGATCCCAGTGGTGGACCTGCTGTACCAGGCACAGGGAAGAAATCAGCACCAGGCAGGCGATCTCTGCACCACAGCACTCAGCACAAAGTCCTTTTTTGGACTCTTAATCATTTAGAGCAGGACAGATAACTCACTGCCTGTGGTCTGCAGCTTCGCCCTATGCTACCTCCAGCCAAGTGGCTTTTCTGACTGCATTACTGTTGGATAATGCTATGTCAGGCCAACAGACAGCCCTCCAGAGCTGTATGAAGGGACATTACCTCGATAAGGAAAATATTCCTCCTCTCAATGTAAAGATGCTGGGATATGGTTTTGGGGTTTTGCATTTAAACTTCACATCTGGTCAGAGATGGAGAGCTTATGAAGTGCTGCAGGGTGTATCTACTATGTACAGACTCAAGAAAGAGGTGTTAACTGAGAAGGGAAGGGATTTCAGCACAATTTGAAGGCCTCTCATTTTTCCTACTTTGTTGGGGTTTTTTTCTTGTCTCAGTATCTCTTCAGTTGCAATGCCAAATGTGTGTTTCAGGCAAAGTAAGTTTTCTCATCCCAGCGTCTCAGTTCCAATGCTTTGTGCTAATGTGTGATGGTCTCACATGGATTTTAAGCACATGAATAATCTTGCTGGCTTCAGCAGAGCTACTTGTGTGCCTAAGAGCCATGTGCTTAAGTAATTCTCTTTGCAAGAGAACTTGGGTCTGAAACCACTGTGACAGCCCAAAGCCAGACTTGATGCACCTTGTAATTACAAAGTAAGAGAAAAAGCTGAAAAAAGTATTTAGAACTATTTTAAAAGTAATTATGAGGTTTTCAGATTGGCTGCAAAAATCCCAGAGGAGCAACAAAAGGGTATAAGCTACTTCTAAAAAAAAATATTTGGCAAGCAATGATTCAGGAGAACCCTTTTTTTGTTGATGGTTGACAGACTGAGGTGCCATTTAGTAAATATAATTATGAAAAGAAAGTTGTTCAGGAAAGAATTTTAAATTGAGTCCATGGGAGGGAGTGGAAAGCATTTTCAAAAGCTAAAGATGTTTATTCTACCACTCAAGTAGGGGCATCGGCTTCCCAGACCTATGGAGCTTGGCTGATGAGCAACTTGCCGGTCCTTGCCAGCAAAGCTGCACAGCATCTGTACTTTGATGAGAACATTTTTAACAGTCAATTAGCATTTGGCAAAGCCTTACGCTGGGAGGGAAAAGTTTGCTCTGCATGAATCCGGGCACCGAAAGGGGCAACGGGAGGAAAGAAACAAACACTACAAATGATGCTCAACAGGTTTTTAGGCAAGCGGAGAGAGTTTTTATTTGGAAACACCTCCGTTTACTTGGAAACCTCTCCTTTGGGAGTGGTTCTTGGCTCCATTGAGCCTGGGTCAGGGATGGTGACCTGCTGACGGGAAACATCCTTGCCTCTCCTGCATCCCCAAAACAGGATGCAGAAGGGAAAGCAGCACCTCCGTGTCGGGCTCCAGCAGCTGCGAAAACAGAGACATGTAGTATTTTTTAGCAGGCGCTGCTACTCACAAGCTGTTTTTTCCCAGAGTCACAGGGTGCAGCTTTGAAGTTACCTTGATGAACTGAACAAAAGCTAAATCCAAAACCACAAAAGAAAAACACAAACTGAAAACACCGTCCTCCCAGCTTCCCTTAGTGAAATTAAATTTAACAAGAGCAAAACCATCTTGGGATTGAAGGAATGAGATAATTGTATTTCTGGTTTTGCTGCTGATCTCTGATGTCTTTTTTATCACTCTAAAAAATCATACTTGTACAGTCATATTGTTCTGTTTTTCTTAAAAGACTCTGGAGATACAGGCCGAAGGATGAAATTCTCTATATAACAACAAAGCAGGCTCCAAAAAAATACCCCACAGAAAACTGAAACCTCTTCTCATCTCTTTGCTATGAAGTTCATGTATTTGGTCTTTCTGAGCGAGCCATGCCAAAGCTGCTGAACGTAACGGCAGGTGCACGATACTGGAAAGGTCTGGAGACTTTCCTCCTGTTTTATTAACACTGTGCCTACAACCACTGGACACTGAGGACTTGCAGCCTTTATAAACTACCAGTTCAATAAAATTTAAAGCCTTATTTAAAAATGTGGTTTATAATCCAGTCCTGATACTTTCATCCATCTCTTTACTTTACTTTACAGAGAAACCATGCACTCAAGAGTGGTTTGAGAGTTGTCATTTTATCTTCATGCCTTCTTATCTGAAAGAAGTCTGTCTCAGAATAATTAGGCTAAAAACACACGCAAGCCTTGAAGTTATCAAAGTTTTGCTCACACTAAGTAATGAGACTTAAATAGGACCAGAATTTCACTATTAGAGGCTGCATCTGAGTACTGTAATAGGAGTGAAATCTGCTTGCAGAGACCTGGAATACAGTGAACTCACTTACAGGGGTGAAAAATCCAGTTCACTGTAATTCTAAAACTGAGATTTTAATTATGTCACTCATTTTGAAACTTGCTCATGCCAAAAAAATTCAAAAACCTCAAACCTGAAGCAACAAAATCAGCTTAGGAACCAATCTAGCTAAACTGATGGAATTCTGTCTTTAAACTCCCTTACTTCAAAAACACAGTTATTGCCCTGCTATCGGTAAACTGATTTGCTAAATCAATTTAAGACAACTCAGTGCACAGTTTCAAGACTAGATATTCCTGTGGTGGATACACCAGATAATAAAGCCAGTGGGTTTTATGTGGTTATCTCATAACCCCTGGAAGGAGGTAACTGCTTGCATGTGTGCTCCTATTTTTCCTCCAGACCAGAATGACACCAGTGATGGTCCAGATGACCCCGTATGAATGGGCACTGCTGTGGACTGGGAATGCACGCAGTCTGCTCCTGTACTTCAGGAGAAGCTACTTCGTGCTTATGAGCATCAACATCTTAAACCAAAGTGACTCAGTCCCATGAAAACTGCACTGGGAAAAAAAACTGATGAGAAGAGACCTGCTTTATTCAGAAAATTACTGAAAACTATCAAAACACAGACTAGAAACTGTAATAGCTGTAATTCTTGATGTGATTTTGAAAGCGCTTTACAAATAGTACTTAATAATGCTATACCAATCAGTAAGGAAGGCAAGTAAATGTTATCTCCTTTTCACAGGCTGGTTGGCTGGCCTACGGAGGTTAAGAGATGCATCTAATGCTACCTGCTAAATCAGCAGCAATGGTCAGATTAGAAATAAGGGATCTCTGAGATTATTTAATGCCCTGACAATTTTAGTCTGAATGCTCTTAAATACTTCAAGGCAATTTTTAGAAGACCTCGCCACTGAGGAAGTCGCTGGATTCTAGTGTTCTTTAAAAGACTTTTACTTGTCCATTTATTACCTCTGGAGTATACAGAGGCACTGCTGTACCCATCCATTTGAGAAAATATCTGCATGTATGCCTCAGGTGACTCTGGAAGGGATTTTTCTGATTCAAGAGACTCAGCACTGAAACTGGACAATTTATTGAATGTCAGTCGTGCATCAAAGCCGCACAAGGTTTCTGCAGAAGCAGACTGATTTGAGAGGAAGGTGAAGAAAGTGAAAACAGAAAAGTATGGGGTTCAACTGACCACAAGCAGCTGCCAACAGAAACCCCAACTTCAGGATGGAACCTACTTGGTCTCAGATTCCCTTGCCCAGACAGCCAATCTCTGCCATTTTTATCCTTTGGAGCTGAGTATCCACTGGGGTCTGAGTCAGCAAACTGCACCACTGAGCTCCTTGAAACTCATTTAACTTCTGGAGGCTGGCAGCAGTGCCCCAGCAACCAGCAGCCCACTGAAGGGTGGTGGAGCATGCTGATGCTCAGCTGCATTGCTTTGAGCTCTGCTCAGCTGGAGGTTGGGAAGGACAAGGTGTGAAAGGGACATCCCTGGCTTCAACTGCCAGCAGAAGATGTATTATAGCAGGGGGAGGAGTTGCTTTTTACCACCTGGGAACTCGAAAGAAACAGTTACTCAAATATTGCAATGGTCCAGGGCTGCGATGGCAGTGCTCACCTCCATGCTCTGGTCCTGTTTATCTTACTGGTATGTTTGCTGCCTAGAGGTGAAGTTTAAGGTAAGATGCTCTGTGCTACACAGAGCACAACTGCAAAGTAAAGAGATGGTCCCTTCCTCAAAGTACTCATAATCTGAACAAGAGATTACACATAGTAGTTGGGTATTGTATATAGGACAAGGAAACAGATGAAAAAAAGGCTATAGCGGGCATTACTGTCCTGGAATTTTGCAGGTATATTTAACTCTTCTAATAAACACACATTTTGTGATGGCCTATACACAGCCATCTGATCTTGAGAGTGCAGTTTGGATCTCACTTTCACACAAAGCAGGTTGACAGAGATACTCATAGCACAAATGTGCAAGACTTTCGCCCTAGTGCAGTAATGACTAAGCTATGGGCAATACAAAGGCACCTGCCCCAGAGTCTTCCTTTTCCAAAGAACACCACTATTTTTTCTGGGATGCCTCTTTATTATCCAGATTTTATTGTCATGTCATCCAAGACGAGGAGCATCACTCGGAAAGCCTCCCAGTCACCATCAGTGTTACAGTGGGTGCAAAGCCTCCTGAGCATGGACATGGCAGCATTAAGCACACATTGCTAGCACATGTTCCTCTCTTTCATTGTAATCCCCTCAGCTTCTCTGGCCAAGTCAAACCTTTAATGAAAGTCGTGGACTGGAGAGGTGCTAAGATCCATTAATCCCCTCCCAAGTGCTCATGGTTAGTAGTCAATACATGGAGCATGTGCAGCTGGAACCCCTTATGTTTCAGTTTTGTTCTTAAAAGAAAGGGAGCCAATTAGCACTGACAGACAAAAGATAAGATGAAAGACTTTCCCAATTTGCAATGCTTTTGTTTTGGTTGAGCGTGATTGCTCAGATTGTATGCACTTGCCTCTAACACAACTGTAATCTTAACGACTTCTTCCTAATCATTTCAACATGAATTAGCAAGAAAAGAGCTGTTGAGAAAAGGAAACATCTTTTCTTCACATGCGTGGGCACTGCATTGCCCAGTTGTTGGCTACAGATTCTAAGTTAGTAATAATAAATAATAAAAATAAGAATAGAATAGAAAAGGACTATTTCAGTTGGAAGGGACCTACAACGATCATCTTGTGCAGCTGCCTGACCAATTCAGGGCTGACTAAGTCAAAGCATGTTATTAAGGGCATTGTCCAAATGCCTTTTGAACACTGACAGGCTTGGGGCATTTGCTACCTCTCTGGGAAGCCTGTTCCAGTGTTTGACCACCCTCTTGGCAAATAAATGCTTCCTAATGTCCAGTAAACTTCCCCTAGCACAGTTTTGAACCATTCCCACACATCCTATCAATGTCTATACCAGGAAGAATTGATCAACACCTCCCTCTCCACTTCCCCACCTCAGGATGCTGTAGAGAGCAATGCAGTCACTCCTCAGCCTCCTTTTCTCCAAACTAGACAGGGCCAAAGTCCTCAGCCACTCTAAATAGGACATGACTTCCAGCCCCTCCACCAGCTTGGTTGCCCTCCTCTGGATGCATTCAAGGACCTTCCCATCTTTCTGAGATTGTGGGGCCCACAGCAGCACACAGCACTTGAGGCGAGGTTGCACCAAGACTGAATACAGTGGGACGATTACCTCATTTGACCAGCTGCTGTGCTGTGCTTGATGCACCCCAGGATGTGGTTTATCCTCACTGCTGTCTCACATAGACCCTGCTGCCAACCAGCACCCCCAGACCCCTTTCTGCAGGGCTGCTCTCCAGCCAATCTTCTCCCAGTTTATATTTGTGCCTGGCATTACTCCACCCTTGGTGCAGAATCCAGCATTTGGTCTTGTTATCCCATTAATCAAAGCCCAGTGCTCCAGTCTATCTGGATCCCTCTGCAGGGCCTCTTGTCCCTCAAGAGAATCGACAGCACCTCCCAGTTTGGTATCATCAGCAAACCTGCTAATGGTTGTTAATGGGACCAGTCACCAGCCAGATGCAGCCCTATAACAACTCACCATAATACATCGACATCTTGAAAGCGCATCGACAATAAACATGCTCTTGGAAAGCATTTCTCTTTAGTGTTGATGGTAATAATGCTGTAACTGCTGCTTGGGCACTGTAAATCCTATCAAGAAGTCCTACCTGCCGTCTTGTCTGCTGATGGTGTATCCAAAAAGAGGGTTGTTGACAAAGCTGATGTTGACTCCAACTAGAGGGGTCCCATCTGCAGTCATCACCTGGCCTCGAATCACACACGCGTGTCTGCAAGAAGGAGAAAAATGATAGAAATAGTAAGTCTTTTGACAAATTTGGGTTTTTCCTCTACTTCTGTAGCGGGGAATTCCTATGGATTAGAAAGCCCAGGCCCTTATGTCCTGGAAAGCTGGGGCCATGACGTGTGTCTTGACGGTGAGATGCTGCTCTTGAAGACTTTATTGGGAATCATGTAAGAATATTCAATATCTAAAATGAGGTTTACCTTTATTCTACTCTTGAAAAGCAACTGTTGCAGCATATACTTCCTTAACTATGGATTTCTGCAGGGTTCACAACATCACACTGGAATCTGCTATAACCCAGTTTCACACTGTCTTGACAATATCGCCCAAATTAAGGGCAAAGAATGTTTGAAAATGAAAGACAACAGAAACCTATCAAGCAGTGCATGGACATATTTAAGGCACGAAAGCCACAGGAGCAGCCTAACCAAGGCTTGACAGCTCATTTCTTCCATGCCTGGGAAAACCAGGACACATAATTTGCTAAGTTCAGATAGCTTCTCTACAAACTGCTCGAGGAACTGGCCATGCTAACAGGATGGGCTTTTTCTTCCTGTCTTTTTCTTTCCAAGTTTGGTAGATTGCACTGTTTTATAGGCCACATCTATTCCAATTACTCTGTGCTCTGTAATGTGCTCTTTTATCTAAGAATTTCAAGGATCTTTACAAACATTGATTAATAGCACGAGATAGGTATTTTACAGAGAGAGGAAATAAAGCACAGGGTGATTTTCAGTTGTCCAAGGTCAGTCAGAAAATCTGCAGTAAAGCCAAAGACAGATTTTCTAGGTTCTTATTCCAAAGTCTGTTTCCAGACCTCTAAGTCATTACTACGCCTCTACCTTAGGAGCTTCCTATAAAGACAAAGCATCACATGTCTGAGAGAGTGTCTGAACCCAATTTTTGGCTGAAGGTAACAATTTTTCTGAGCAGCAACAGCAAATTGTGGTGTCAGTGTGCTAACGTGACCCAGTGAGTGATTTTCCTAACTGCTGTCCTGCTGGAGAGCAGAGATTGAAAGCCAATGTTTCTACAGGTGCAGGACCAGAGCTCAGCTAGGGTAAATCATCCCAGCTGCACTTGCTATCAGCCCACTCCAGCTGAGAAATGTCGCTTTACCGGTTCACTGAGGCAGGGGATATCTGCAATGTTTTGTAAAGATGATTCCATAAACACAGATCATCAGGAAAAGATCAAGTTATTTTCTTACAGTTCACCTAAAAATCTGATGTCGTGTAATGCAAGGAGATAAAGCATAATTTCAGCTTAATAAGGGCTTCACTATTTGTATATTCCACAATACAGAAAACAGATGATTTGTCAGGAAGTCTTAAACAAAACTCCTACTGATGTAAATGGAGAGCTCCAATATTAACAAAAATTCTCGAAGCGTTACCAGAATGTGTTGGCAATATACAATGTGACTGGATTCATATACGACTTTGGAAGAGGCCACAGGAAAATGAGATAATGGAAATGATTTTTCTGTCACTGAGTTTTCTCTGATATATCATCACTGACTTGTTAGGAGTCACGTTGGAAAAGATTTGAACCCAGCTCTGGAGCTAATAACTTTCTTCATATTTCTATTGCTTCTCCCATTGAAGGCTCTAACCCAGCCTTTCATATAAAACAAATTGAAAACAGTATTCCAGCACAGTTAAGGATGTCTAGTTAAAGATCTAAAGATCCAGTTGAAGATGCCCCAGCTCACTGCAGGGGGGGTGGACTAGATGACCTTTAAAGGTCCCTTCCAACCCAACACTTTCTATGGTTTCTACAGTGTTACGCACATCGCCCTCTGACAGGCAGCAAAGCACAACCCAAAGGATCACAGTGCTGTGGAATACACTTGAGAAAATGTCAATGCTTGGAATAACCCCACTGAAGTCAACAGGCTACCAACTGTAGTGCAATTTTTGCAGAGAGTATGTCTAATCACATGTCTGAGCTAAGAGCAAAGGTCAGGCCTTTTCTTCCCAGAGTTTTCCATGATCCTCTCCACTCTACCCTATCTCCTTTTCCACCCTTTAAAGAGACCTAAGGAAGGGTTTGAAATTTTCTTCTCTGAGCTTCTCATCAAATGTCTGCATATTTTGTGAAAGGCAAGGAACCACCACATACTGTGGAGGCCCCATGCCTGGTGATATTCAAGGTCAGACTTGATGGAGCTCTGAGTAACTTAATCTAGGAAAGATGTCCCTGCTCACTGCAGGGGTTGGACTGGATGATCTTTAAAGGTCCCTTCCAACCCAACACATTCTGTGACTCTATTCCATGACACTGTGCTTGAAGACTGAGACCTGAGCCTGAGGGACTCGGTATTCTGAGTTACTGACAGCATATTCGAGTCAACGCTGGGACTACGGATGTTTTAAAATACTTGAGAGACAAGTTCATACATTTTTGTGAACCCAAAAAGAATACTTCCACTTGTTGTTTCTTCCTTCCAAGAATTATAAGCAAGTAAAGGAAAAAACACAACGTTGCAGGTGTCTCTCCTGCTGTCCTACACAAAACACATGTCCAAGCAGTTGTGAACCTCTAAGCAATACTGCAAGCACATTGGCCTAGACCCTCAGCTCATGTTAATGGGAGGAGGTGCTTTATATCAGCAAACATCTGGTCCATTACATATCACTGACAACTATTTCTTCAGTAACAAGCACCAGCACAACATGGAGAAAAAGCTTCCTCTCGCCTTGGCAGCTGTACCAAATGCATTTGAGCTCTCACCTTCAAAAAAGAGACCCTGTTCTTGACAGTGCTTTGCAGCACCACACTTCAACTCCGTTAGCACATCTACGTGCTCACTAACTCAGACAACATTGGCATCTCTTCTCAGAGGCAGCTCATCAGCAAGCCCAGCTGCATCCACCGTCCTCCCGAGGACTACAGCAGCTTTATTTACATGCTATAGGGAACGATGTTCCCACAGAGGGGACATCTTTCCCAAACCCCTGTGACTAAAAGAAGCTGGAGCAACACGCACAAATCTGAATTCACTTAAAAGCAGGAGGGATGGAAACTGGAAGAGAACCAAAGCTCAGGCTCTGCCTGGTTAGAGTCTCGAATCCTCTCCTTCCCTGGGTGACAAAATTTGCCTCACTTGGGAAAAACAGTTAATACAGTGCGTTGGAAGCAGCTGGCTTCCCTAGTGTCAACGTGTCCTTTCTGGAGGCAAGATCAACTACCCACCACACACCGAGCCCCCCAGGAACTTGGTTAATGATAATTTACTCAGCCATTTCCTTCAGAAGACCTTGGTCTAAATGCAATTACACTAAAAACCAGCTAAGTGGTACTGCTAAGATGCTCAGCTCCGCTAGAAGGTCTCCCAATATATTTACATAAAATTATCTCCCATGTTAATAGAAGAGATTTATTCCATTAGTCTAGGCCTGCCAGTTCAGAGTGTTTTCTGCAGCTGAACAAAATTGAATTTCTCGTAGCTGGAGCCTCATCTTCCCACTGAATTATTAACAGATTCCACCTATTGCCTCTGTTTTCTGGCTTTTTCTGTTTTTTGTCTTTCTTTGTTTCCTTCACTACTTTTACATCAGGCTGTATGGATTCTTGATTTACAATGAAGAGCAGTCTGGATTTTTTTCTTCTTCTTTAATTAGATTTTTCCTTTCTTTTCTTTTTTATTTTTTTTTATTTGTCCATAAAAGCTTCCCCGAAAGACCAAATAATTGTGGAAAAGCCATCCAGAATGCCAGATGGCGTATCAGACCATTTTACACCATCACTTCGTGAAGTCGTTCTTTATCCCTAGAAAATTAAATTAAGTCTTCCTGGAAAGACCTGGGCCACAGTGGCAAAACAGACAGGAGTGCACTGATGACTTTAGTTTCCCATTGCTCAGATATAAAGGAACTTGGACAGGCTGTCAACAAAATTCAAGCAGATGAAAACAGCTTTAGAACAAAAGTCAGAAAAGTAAATCCTCAAAAAGGCATTTCACATGATGGGAGCACATTAAAGATTTGTCTTTAATACTGACTCTGATCCAATGTCTCATAACATAGACATTGGCTCTTCCAATACTTCTTATTCATAGAAGTTTTCTGCTGACACTGCACTTGGCACTGGGAAACAGACAAAAATACTGCTTCTGCAAAACATTTTTCATTGGGAAAAGAAAATTCCATGCATCCTAAACTCCTTTTTGTGGTAAAAAAATGTATAATCTTTCTGTTACTGAGGATAGGTGCCATGGGAAATCTCACCCCAATAAATTTCTGCAGCTCCTCAAAATATTTCCTCTGTAACTCATTTTGCCCTAGCCTTTAAAGTTCTCAGATGTGTGGAGATGGTTATCATGACTGCTTAGCCACTCTCAGCCAAGTTATTCATAATAAATATTTTAATTTGCCACCACAAATCTCTTTATCTCTTGGATTTTACTTACCACTTCCGTATTTTATTGGTATAGACATGCCAGGGATTTGTCCTTCCACTCTGGATGAAACTTTACCAGAGCACCATGGAGTGAAAATCTAGAAAGCTATTGCTTGTTGGGAAGAGCATTATTAATGAAATTAGGTGATGTCTGTTCTATTTCTTCCTCTGTTAAAGACTTTCTGTGTGACACTAGTCATGTCAGTTGGTCTGTCTGTGTTTTTGTACTCCACCCACAAAATAACAATAAAGTACATCCCCTCCCTGTAGAGCCGTAGAAGGGTAATTGTAGTAATCTGCTAATCCCTTGCACAGGGATTTTACATTCTCATGGCACTTCATCAGTGACATGCCCAGACACCGTGCTGATAAGTGCCTACAAACACAGTCATTTGTTACAAACACAATCTCGTGGATTTAGCTGCTGTGACCTTTCTGCTTGATAATAACACAGGATGCAGCAAAATGTGCCTTGTCCATTTTGGGTTGAATGCACCTGTCTCATGTTAAACAACCCCAGGGCAGTCTAGTACTAGGATAGATAGGAAAATTGGTAGAATGCCAGGTAGATGCTAAGGG